ACCCCCAACGCTGCAGCAACAGCAAGACCACGCTCTACGCTGCGAGCCAGTGGGCTCCTCTGTTCACTCAACCAGCCAGGGTTCTGTGAACTTGTGAACTGAAGGGACAGAGCCAAGGTCCTTGCCCTGAGGGTTTATGGCCCCATTAGAGGAATGGGCCTGAAATGAACGAAGACTGAAGATTCGTCACTGAGAGGGAAGGGGAAGAAGGGATGCTCCTCCGCCGGGTGCACAGCCTGGCCACTGCCCTCAGGGCAAGTCCAAATTCCAGGGGCGGCTCCCTGCTCCTCCCACTTCCATTACCCCGGGACAGAACCCTAGGCTCCTTCCTTCTCCGCTGGCTACCTCCTCAGGCCGCCGGGCCAGGTGGAAGGGGCTTCCTCCGGGAGCCCCCCAACCCTGCGTTAGTCTCGGTGGAGGCCACTCTGCTCCCAGGAGCCTCGAGCCCAAAGGTAGCTTTTGTCACTGTGCCAACTGTCTTTCCCCACCAGACAGTGAGCTCGATGGCCGCCCGTGGGCCCTGTTCGTCCCCACACCCCACGCCGCACTCCATGCCAAGAGTGCTCAAAAACCATTTGCCAAGTCGACGAACGAATGGACAAATGAATGGATGCCTTGTGGAGGTGCCGCTTGGTAAGCAGTCAGGGGCCTGAGCTGGGCCACACCCACCCCTGACGCCCTGCCTTCCTGCCTGCAGGCCACAGAGGCCAGGAGGAACCTCCAGGCTCCGGAGGAAGAAGAGGGGCTCCAGCCTAAGAGGAGGAGCCCGACTAGGACTGCCCCGCCAGGAGCTCTTTTCCCTATAAGGCCTCGGGCGTTCAGGGCGTTCAGGGCGGGGACAGGACATGATGAAGCGGGCCGTAAGCAGCACATCAGAGGGGCTCCTCCCTGGGGACAGCCTGCCTGCCACCAACTCCCTTCCTGAGGGGTGGCCTCAGCCAAAGGACATGACCTAACAGGCACACTGGGGGTGAGCAGCTGGGGTGGGGGACAGGATGGGGAGCCAGGCTAGATGCCGGCAGCTCCCTCTGCCTGGTAGGAGGGCCCATCGAGCCCTGGGGCCCGCACAGCTCCCTGGAAAAAGCAGGTATTCCAAAGGGCCGTGGGCTGACCATGTCCAACCAAACCCCAGGGGCAACCTGGCCCAAGGCTGCGTTCTGGGGGAACCACCTGGTCCCCCCACATATTAAAGGGGCTGGGTGTTTGGTGGTCTCCAGACTCGGTTTCTCCGCAGGAGTCCCGTCTTCCTGCTCAGCGATTCTGTCCCGGGCTCTGGGGCAGACCCTCCCAGGTGTCCCTAGCTCATTCTCACAGGTACACCCACAGCCCTACTTCGGGGGAGGGGAACAGGGTGTGTCACCACCTCTGAAACATGGAGATGTCGGTTTGCAGTCACAGGGGCTCAGGGAAGGGGAAGGGTCTTCTGAGCAGCGCGTCCCTTCCTGGGCAGGGGCACCTCCAGCTGCTAGGACACCGGGGATGCAGGGAACACCACTGGGCACAGGGCTGACACACAGCCAGTGCTTTCTGACCAACTGGGCTGCTCTGCGCCACTGCCTTTGATGGAGACGCAGGGGTGGTGGCCGAATTGGCCCCTCTGGGTGTCCCAGCCCTTGGCCATGGAACTCTATTACCACCCACCTCACTACAAGTCTCCACCCTGAAAGTAGGGACCCAGACGACCTGTACTTTCCATGGTCACCCTCCCTGCAGGTCAGGTCCCCAGGAAGGTTGGGTAGGGGGAGGTCCCCTTGGGGGCTGTGGCTCTGCTTCTTTGGCAGAGGCCTGACCACAAAGCCACAGGAGCACCTGCCCTCAACCCCACCCACCTGCCTCTGTGGAGGGGCCTCGGGTGCGGTGCTTCCCAGGCCAGGCAAGGGACTGGTGCACAGGGGTCACCGCATAGAGACAGCCAACCGTCTCCAGGGTGTGGCCCCCCACACTTCCAGCCCCAAACGGTTTATAGTTTCCTCTTTGGAGAGGCAGGTGGTGACAAGTCAGCCCCAACCAAGCCCAACTCCACCCCCCCCACCCACATGCAGAGGGGAGAAGGGGTGAGAGCAGTGTGCAAAGAGTGTGGAGACGGTTTGGCTTCCCTTCTCGGGCAGCAGCCACCACATAGTTCCTGTTCCTGGTGGACCCAGACTGGCGCTTCAGCTCCAAATCTGGTCTGGGAAAAGGGGTAGAAAATGCCACTAGATCCAGGCTATGTCCTGCCTCCCACAACCCAATCCTGAGACAGAGAGAGAGAGAGAGAGACAGAGACAGAGAGAGAGAACAAGAACCACAGGCCTCAGGTCTCCTGTCCCTGCACATCCTGCCTACGAGGAACCCGCACGAGGGCACCCAGGGGACAGACCTTGCCCGACCCCACCATCCCTCTCGCCCGCCAGCCCACGAGCGGAGCCAGGGCCGGGCCACTCACCCGGTTGGCCGTGATGGCCAGGTTCTGGAGGTTCTGCAGGAGGCCGATGTCGGCGGGGAGGAAGGTCAGGTTGTTGTGGCTGAGGTCCAGGTAGCGCAGCTTGCGGCAGTAGAAGAGCTGGGGCGGGATCTTCTCGATCTTGTTGCGGTTCAGGTAGAGGCGCTCGAGGTTGGTGAGGTTGCCGATCTGTATGGGGATGTAGGCGATGTGGTTGTACCAGAGCTTCAGGCAGGTGAGGCGGTGCAGGTGCTGGAAGCTGATGATCTCCTCGATGGTCTTGAGGTTGTTGTCCTTGAGGTCGATCTCCTGCAGGTTGTGGAGGCTGAAGATGGAGTGGGGGATGCGCTCCAGGTCGCAGCGGATCAGCTCCAGCTCGGTCAGGTTCACCATCTTCTTGAGGCTGTTGAGGACGATGAGCTTGGTGCCCTCGTTGTTGATGGACAGCTTCTGCAGGTGTACGCCCACGTCCGTCACCACCTGCGGCAGCTTGCTCAGGTTGCTCTTGAGCCGCAGCACCTTGAGGCGCTTGAGCTCGCGCAGCCCGTCGATGACGATGTAGCGGTTGTTCTCGGCGCTCAGGTTGCCCGTCAGGTGCAGCTCCTCCAGCGTCTTCAGGCTGTAGATCCACAGCGGGATCTCCTTGATGTCCGTGAACTTGATGTGCAGCGCCCGCAGGTTCTCGCGCAGAAAGGCCAGGGCGGGCGCCTCGATCTTGGCGGCCGTGTGGTACAGCCACAGCTCCTTGAGGCCCGTGAGCTGGGCGATGCTGGGAGGGATGGTCACGTCCGGGATCAGCTCCAGCTTCAGCACCTCCAGCTCCACCAGGTCGAACACGGTGTCGGGGATGCCGCTGAGCATGAACAGGTGCAGCTCCAGCTTGTCCTGTGCGTTCTTGGTGAGCCGCTGCCGCAGCTTGTCCAGCGTCCACTCGTTGTTGAGGTTCAGCTGGCGCAGCTTGTTCTCACTGACCTCCGACAGGAAGACGGCGAAGCGCTTGGAGTAGAGCGGGTCGTACTGGTCGATGAGGTGCAGCATGAAGGCGAAGTCGTTCTTGACGTCGGGGATGTCGCTGTAGCTGCTCTCCTCGCGGATGGACTCGAACGAGTACTTCTTGAGGGAGCGGCGCAGCATCCACCACAGCGTGTACATGCAGATGAGGCCGTAGAAGATGACCAGGCTGATGTAGAAGGACGCCAGGATCTTGAAGAGCGTGGCCAGCGGGTGGGCGCAGCGGTAGGTGCGGTAGCCCGTCAGGCTCTCGATGTCCACGGTGCAGTCCACGTCGAACTGGATGCAGTGCACGTAGTAGACGGTGTAGCAGATGATGAGGACGAACTTGATGACCTTGATGATGGTCTGCCGCATGTAGAGTCGGTACACGATGTCGCCCTCCTCCACGTGGGTCCGGAACTTCTTCACCTTCTCGAACAGCGCCTTGGCCTGCTCCCCCTCCTTCTTGTCCAGCACGCCCGTCTCCGAGCGGTCCACGATGCCCTGCTCGATGCGGGACTTGGTCCGCTGCAGCATGGGCACGGTGGCCTCCACGTCCTCGCTGACCGTCGACGACTTCTTGTCCATGGAGCCGTTCATCTTGCTGAAGGTCGGCTTGGGGTCGCTCTCCTCGACCACCGTCTCCGACAGGGCCCGCGTGGTCCAGGGCGAGTCGAAGCACTTGAGCAGGATGGACACGAAGTGCTCCAGCTTGGAGCTGGTGCGCGGGAACTTGAACCAGAAGTTGCTGCAGGCCAGGAAGATCAGCGTGTGCAGCAGCACCAGGTAGGGGAAGTACTTGGCGAACCAGTGCAGGCGGTTCTCGTAGCACACGGCGTCCACGTAGTTGTACTGGTGCCGGTCCAGGTCGTACTTGATGCCCGTGGGGCCCGTGTCCGGGGTCGGCGGCACCGTGGAGTTGGGGTAGGCGGGCTCGGGGGCGGGGGCGGCCCATCCCCGGAAGGAGTCGTTGCAGGAGTCCCTGGTGACCCACTTACAGGGCAGGCAGATCATCTTGTCCTGGGTGACCTGCAGCGTGCCCCCGAAGACGGCGATCATCAGCATGACGATGGAGATGTAGTCGGTGAACACGTCCCACCACGGCTTCAGGATCCGGTACGCCGGCTGCGTGTCCGCAAAGTAGCGGAGCTCCGTCACTGGAATCATGGTTCAGCCTGAAAGGGACCCACAGGAGGGCGTTACTGCAGGGTGGCCTGGCTTTCTGGGACCCAGGTCTCGGGAAGGGGACAATGGATCCATTGTCCAAAGCCACCTCGAGTCTGGACAGGAGTCAGAGACCTGCCACTTGCAGGGCAGCCCACGGAGCAGCCTTTTTCCAGACACCACGTGGTCACTGAGA